CCAGGGTTTACGATTCTCCGGTGCTGTGGTTCTCTGTGTGAAAATGGACTAATGTGCAAAGAAACAGTATGCAGATTTTACTCCATGATGTAAAGTGTTGATATTTAGCCCAAAAGTCCAAAGGCCTCTAGTCTGAGACAATGACTCTTAACTTTTCTTAAACAAGTCAAATAAAACAGCTTCCTATCCCAAATAACTGGAGGAAGTCCGACCACTTTCCTGACACATAGCACAAGGACTTCTCATGATGCTTATGTTCAGTGTGTCATTCATTAGATTTTACGTATGTGGACTTCCTAAGTGTAAGTGACTTCAAAGGAAATACTCCATTAAAATTAATAATAGATGTGCAAGCATGGGCCACTGATCAGCTTTCACAGTATCTACCCAAGATTAGAAGAAGACTCAGTTTCTCGCCCAAAACATCGCTTTGATATTTGAATAATTAATCCTTAGAAATTCATTATTTAATTATAAGGTTTGGAAAGTTGCCTGTGAGACATGAAAGGTTGCTATGAATCTGTATTGTTGGCTGACAGAGACAGAAATGGGAAAAGAAACGTTTGAAAGTCGAAAACATTCTGAACCAGATCTTAGTAATGCCATACCACAGAGGAACAACTGGAATATTAGTCAAACTTCAAGACATCCTAGGAGTAAACCTTTAGTCAAATAGCTTTTATTTGGCTTTTTTTATTCTAGCAGGGCTATTACCTTGAAGCTGCTGGTGCAGCCTTTCAAAATTCTGACGTCAGCTCATCTGTAGACACTATGAGCTTCTACAAAAAGCACACAACTAGGAACCAAAATATCCATTTTCCTAAAACACAGCCCCCAAGCCCTCTATACCTCAGTTGCCCTGCATGCAAAGGGAGACATCAGGTCAGAGGACCCCGTGCTGTTAACGAGGTCACTCTATAGGCAGGAATCTACCCATGACCAGTCTCTCTGGCCTCTTAGACCAGAAATTCAGCATCCCACAGGGCAGTTAAGCTTAGTGGTGACTCCAATCAAAGAAATTATTCTCCAGGGAAGTTTTCATTGCACAATGTGCAAAAAAGAGGAAGAAAAAGGCAATATAAGAAGAAAGAGTAGAAGACAATAATGGAGAAGACAAAGCTTAGACATTTATGCAAAACATTCACGATTCATAAATAATAATTATTATCTGATAAGTGACATATACATACTACTTTACATAAAACCTTTATTAGTCCATTCTCAATTTCCCAGATAATTTAAGACTATTGGCTCCTGACACTCTTGGGTATAAGCTGAATAGAGAACAGCAACCCCTATTGCAGGATTAAGCAAATATGTAAAATTAACATAAAACATAATTGATTCAGTATTCAGAATAAGAAGGAGGTAGGCACTTCATCGCAAAATTTATAATCTTGGATATAGAGGAATTAACTTTTACGTATCATAAACATGAAGAAGTGTTTTGCAGATTTGATGCCGTGTGTTTCACTATACAAACAGTTATTCCTGCATTATTGCAACTTCTTAAAAATCATTAAAATGTCACATAGCAGACGACTCAATCAGATAGGATATTCAGAAATTAACAGTGATCTCATTTTCTAATAATCAAATACAGTTCACAGATGACAACCAGATGGGAACAGGAATCAGGGTGAGAGTTTAAAATAGATGGGTGGTACTGAGAATTCCCTGATTAAGTGTACTGATCTGGAGATCAGCTGATCTAGGATCCTCATCTGAGAGAAAAAGGTAGATCCCCAGAGTCTATCAGGGATCATATGAGAATAGATTCCAAAAATGGGACCCCCCCAGTAGGGATCTGAAGGCCTGGAACAATATCTGGTCAACGCAGACCACAGAATCAAGCACCATGATCTTGAGGATGGTAACCTGTTGGCCATGTACAGCTTGTACATGGTACTGGGAAGGCACAGAGCCAAGAGGTACCTCATGTCTCCTCTGAGGTGGGAGCAGAGGCAAGGCTTCCTGACTAAAGCAAACCAGGACTGAGACAAGAACAGCCATGTCTATGATCCCTTATACACTTAAGTCATGGAAGAACAGACTGTAAAAATAAGTGCACAATGATGCAGATGGTGGCATTGGTCTCTGGATTCCTCAAAGGAGCCAGTTCCTTCTGCTTGGAGACCACATCCTTGTGTGTTATTTCTTAGGTATGTGCCATGTTTCCTATCTGCCTTCTTCACTCATGCTCTGAGTATGAACAGACACCTCTAGGAATGTCAAGAGGAATCATCAATACCTGTATAAGTATTTATGGTGTTGCTGGTACATTAAGCATACAGCAGCATTAGCTGTTATTATCATTAAATGTGAAATTTTCCCAGATATCATGCCCACATTTCCTGTGACTTACTTGACCTCTCTGTATGGATATCACCAAATTGCACCCTCCTCCTCACTGACCAGCACTGTAATTTTACACTATGTGGCGCTCCCCAAACCATCTAGTTGTCTCTACAACCAGACAGACATTCATCATGAGTGCCAGGGATGTATTATGAGGGCGGAACACAGAGTTCTTTACATGGTAGGCATGCAGCAAGCATTTAGTGAACGAGCTAATCAGTTGAAGGTCTGGGGTTTTTCTATTTCTAATATGGAAATAAGCTTTAAGAGCAAAGATGAGATTTTTATAGCCTTATCGTCTATAAAATCAAACTGTCACAGTGTTGGTAACTGTTTAATTTATTTTGTACTACCAGAAAAATTATTAGCACCACTGCACCAGGTAGTTACATAATAATGAAGTCTCAAGGACAGCTCTGAGAAGTTTTCAAAGTAATCAATAATGCTGCTGTGAAATTGTTTCCCAAATGAAGAGTTCTTGTCCAATGAAGCTGTGTAGCAACAGACAATTTTCTTTGTTCATACTTTTGTGGTTAAAGAACCTATTATCTGAGGCATTAGGAAAACTTTTCTCAGTAGGTGACACAGTTCTAAATTTGTTTGTTAGCAACAAGTTCCTCAAAGCAGCTGATGAATATAAAATTTCAGAATAATTTTCAGTATACTGTTTTGTTTGGCCTGGTGGTGAATATACCAGCCTGTGATCAGAGCAGTGTTTGTAACTTCTTCCAGTTAGTGACACAGGTGGCATCTTCCTAGTCACAGTATCGGATCCATGCAAAATTTTTATTCTAGTAAAAATGTACCAAGTACTGACCCATGTCAAGAGTGATTATCTCTATTCTTGATGGACCCAGTGACTTAATAATTTAAGAATTTGTCTATGAGCCCCATACTTTCAGATAGTAAATGATGGATTACGTGGCTTGATAAGATATTAAAATGTTTTCCACTATGAATGTCAACAGAGTTCTATTCAGCAGTTGGAGGAATGAAGATCGAAGAAATGCAACCTGGATGAGAAATTTGGGATAGCACTACAGCTTTGACTACTGAGTAGAGATGTCCTACCCAAGCAAGACTCTCCATAGCTACTTTGGGTTAACTCCCATTTCACAGATCTGTTACATGTTTTTAACTTGATTTTCCAACTTGGCCCTCTGACAACAACAATAATAATAATAGTAACAATACCAAGAAATACTTACCAAGTCTCTACTATGCTAACCAGCTTTCTAGTACTATAAAAAATAGCTGAGATAATGAATTTATAAAGAGAAGAGATATATTTTGGCTCACAGTTTTAAAGGTTTCAGTCCATGATCAGTGGACTGTGACAGCACTTCATGGTTGGGCTCATGCAGTGGAATACAAATGATCACTCGTGGCCAGGAATCAAAAGAGAAAGAAATGAAGGAACTGGAGTCCCACACCTCCTTTTGATTGCAAGCCTACAATCACCTAAAATTCTACCCCTAAGATAACTTTGTAAGGAACCTCTGAGGTTTTGACCTCTAGGTCTCTGGGGAATGTTCCTGATACAATCTACAGCATATACTATGGATACTATTTTATGTAACCGTTTTGCATTTACTATTTTATTTTATGACAATTCTTTGAAATAGCCACTATTGTTCTATCAGTTTTGGAGTACTGAATTAATTTTCCAAAGTTGAATTATTACTTTTAAAAAAGGAGAGATTGGAAAGACACTGGTCACTGAAGTGATCGATCTAACTTATCCAGATCCATGTGGGTGGTGTGACTCTTTGTATAGGTCTGAGGACAATATGATGGGGGTGCTCTGGGTTAGGAGTGATGTGGAGCCATATAAATCTTAGATCACTCACAAGGACTTCCTTTTCATCTCCTATTAAACCTGCTACCCTTAAAAGCACATTTTTTGATATACCCACAATCAAACTTTCTTCAAACTGGATTTGGAAGTAAGTTGACTTGCCTGGTGGACTGCCACACTGAATAAATTTCCTGCACACTTGGCAAATTCCTTCCAAAGGAGGCACAGTCTAATTGTTCCTGCCTTTCATTGCCATCTTGAATAAAGAAAACTTGGCATTGATTCCCATCCTCCCTTCGATACTCCCCTCCCACAAAAGCTTTTTATTTCTTGGGAAAGAAAAGTGTCCACTTATCCCAATAAGCATGAATTGAGAAAATTATAATTTCACAGAGGACTTTTATTTAAAGGAACAATGTGTCAGAACTGGGCCTACAAGGACAAGGTACACTGTGAACCAAGGTATCGTTGTGAACCAGAAGCAAGGGAATGATGTGAGTCTAAGCCATTGAACAAGGAAGTAAGACCCCTCTTTATATTTCCAGGATTGGACATGGGAGACAAAGGTCAGAGAGTCTTGAAATTCTAGGACATCCACGGTCATGGAGCCAAGGGTACAATGAGATGTAACAGTTGATTTAAATGCTTTCTTTGTAGGCTGTGGTTCCCTGTACGCCCAAGAAGACTCTCCCAATAAGCAAATCTTCATCTAAGGTTCCTCATTATTTTAGAGTCTGGGGCTGTACTTTGGAAAGCAATTCAATGCCTTTTTCATTTTGAATTGGTATCACACCACATTTTTAACATTCTTTTTTTCTCTCTCTCTCTCTCTCTCTGTTTTCAGAGGCTACCCTTTAAAGACAGGCATTTCACTTGCAGCAAAATGTAAGTACATTGCCTGCTTGAAATGGCATCTCCTTCTCAGCTGTAATTCTTAAAACCTCCTGATCTTTAAGGCTCCTATCTCACACTGCTGCAATTTTAAAGTCTGGCTCAACAAATGCAGTCACAGTTAGAAGCTAATGTTTCACATTGCTAATTTGTACAACATCATGGAACATTTTAGAAACTGTTTTGGAAGCGGATTGAAACTGATGGCAACTGTCACAATATTACATCTAAAAACCTAGATAAAAGTGAGAAGGGAAAAAGCCTCTTAGATATGACGACCATGCCACACCAAACATCTGAATATCCAGCATCTCCCAAATAGCTGATTTATTACTCTTTGCCCAGTTGGTCCTTACTGTGTAGTCACAGACTGTTTTTTTCTTTGTTTAACGGTATGGTAGTTACCTTAATAATCCCTTACTAATTCCATTAATAACTCCTTAATAATTCCACTCTGTAAACCAGTGCTCCTTCTAGAACTAACCTGCTGTGTATCATATTCTTTACTCTGGTACTCCCAGGTTCTACACACAAAATCACAAACACCCACTATTCTGAAAAACCAAATAAAATCACAGCAGGTCTGAACTGGGAATTCTGAGTATTTTAGATTTCTGCCTTTGAAATTAGGATGTGAGTGGAGTTTTCACTTTTCTTTTTAATAAAATGAAGTGAAGAATGATTTTAGCCAAATTATGTAAATATAAATATATAAAAATGCATTTATACCTACAAATATGTATATATTTATGCAAGTTCCATCTATATATGGAATAATTTGGTAATACTAGGGGATAGATTTAGGGTTAGTATGAAGACACCAGCTATTCCAAAGGTGGTTAGTTGCTTGTCACTACAGATAACCAGACCAACAACCACAAGGTAGAAGGTTGAGCTCAGTAAACTATAGAAGCTATATCACCTCTCAGCTCCGGATTCATAAAGAATTTCCAACGAATGATATATCTCAGCAAGCACTGAATCCTTTAACTAAACATTCTCAGATCCATCAGAATCCAAAGGTCTCACTTGAATTATATATACTATATGTGCTCTAATAAATTCTCTTTTGAATCATTCAGGCCCTGAGAAAATCATGCATTCACCTGCAAGAAGAATTTAGTTTTTGCTGATTTTCCCAGGATGAAGCTTTTTGTTTGCTCTCTAGAATAAATTGATACCATTGCTATACATCAAATATACAAACATCAGCACAAGAGACTTGCACTCTCAAAATCATTCAAATTTAATATCAAAGTCTTAGGAATTCGTTGGAATTTTTTAAAATGCCAAGCTCTGTATTATATCAGTTTGGCTTTTATTGCATAATCAAGACACCTGCATGATATGAATATTTCAAGCAGCTTTTACCAATAAAGCTATGCTAGGTTTTATGAACAACCCCCCTTTTCCAGTTCTATCATGAGTATGTTGCTTGCACAGATGTTGGTTCTGGACAATATTCTTCCTTTTTAACTGATACTGTTCAGGATAAACTGCCTAAGTTGATTTTCCTGCATATTCATATTTGGGGACTCGTTAGCATATTGTCATTGCCTAACTTCTTAACTGTTTTAAGTGATTCAATGTTAAATACTACAATAGGATGGTTATACAGTCATGGTAAAAAATAGGGAAGGATAATTAAAAGCAGCATTCTGAGTCACTGTATGTAAACACAAGCACATATATGACTAGATCTCTTTACCAAAATTTCAGTTCAGAGCACTTTTGACCTCCCAGATTGGAAAAACAAAAGTGAAGGGATGGGATGACTATTTCACCTTAGAAGGCTTGAATTGTGGTCACTTTACTTTCACATTTTTGCCCTCTAGGATATACACAATGCATACTGACCCATTTCATTAGTAAATAATCTGAGATGTAAACTTACACTGAAATTTTATACTATCCAGATAAAATGGGTCTGTTCAACTCCCCAAGTCATTTCGAGGCAACCGGAAGAAGATGGGTCTGACCCATGGAGTCATGGAAATGCGCTGAAATCATTAGGCAATGGTTTGGGTTCCTTTTGACAGCCAAACACCTCATCCTCTCTGGAGTTTGCTTTATGTCCAAACGGTGACTGCACTATACAACCAATACAATGAAAAGTGACCTAGATGGCACTCCTCTGGAGGAAGCTCAGATCTGTAGTTACGGAGGGGGCTTCCTAAGTGAAGGTCTTGGAATTGTGTGGGGAACACATAGAGAGCCAGTCCCATGGGAGAAGGACAGCTCAGGAAGATAAGCCCACAGAGAAACAGGCGCACAGAGAAATGGACTGTGGAAGGAACCAACCGGGGAGGAAAACTCAGCAGGTTCACGCCTGAGCCCCAGTCACTCCTTCAGAAGTGGCTCCCTTTGGAGTCTTAGCTCCTCAGGTTCTGAGTTTCCTTACTATGGAAAAACAGCTTTCCTCCCTCCTTTAAAGGGCTATGGTGATTACATAAGATTATGTTTGGGAAAGATGTTAGCTTCTACAAGTCTTCTGTAACTTTAAGGGATTTTTATCAGGTTATTGGGCTCTCCCTGTGTTGTGGATGTCCCTGGCACCCCAATGACAAACTTTGGACCTTAAGGTCAGAACTGTACAATAGTAAGTTATAGAACACCACTATACCAAATCAGTGTTCTGCAAAGTTTTGCACCTATTTTTGCTCGGTTCTTTGCAACTATGCATATGCTTTAAGACCACTGCCTCTGGTGGAGGAGCACTGTCTTCTGGGTGGTATGGGTGAGGAAGTTGCCAAACAAACCTGAACTACCCAGAGGCCTGTAAAATGCACAATTGCTTTTTAAGAGGCATGGTGATATTGTGTGTTCCTCTCAATTTTTGGCAGTGACGATTTTCTGCAATTTGTGGTTTTGCAATTTCTCTTTACACAGACAACACCCTGGCTCTCATTCAATGCCCCTTTGGTGGGGTTGAGGTAGGGGAAGAGAAGGACTCCCTGGGGCTCTAAGTGCTCCAGAAAAAGAAGGATATGTTAATGAAATAAGTCAGAAAGAATGTTAGAGACTAGTGGAAGTTGCAGGGAAGAAACAACTTTTAATAAATTGCATGGCATTGCTAAGATTTTATCTGGGGCTTCCATCAGCTGGGCAAAGATTTGCTCTTCTAGCCCTTCTTGTTTCTCCGCTGAGCCTTGTCTGAGTTATAATGTCAGTCTCTTTTCATCTTTTTTCCTATATTCAACAAGCCTAGAGTAGTTTCTTCCACTGGCTCCTCCAGGCCTCTTCTGGTGAGATTTTCTTTAAATATTGTCTCTAAGTATCCACTTGCCAATTACACTTACTTGGTTTGTGTGAATTAGCTCAAGATCCATGCACCAGAATTTTTGATCTTGTTCAGGTTGCTGGAATGGCCTTTACAGAGGAGGTCTGTGGCCCCCAGGCAGTGTAGGGATGTAGCATTTATCTAGGCCACAGTGATTTGTTCTGTTTCTATTCATTGCCTCTGGAAAGGCTTTGCAGACTTTTGTTTGCTTTCTTATGGCTGCTAGGCACTGTGCTGAAGGATTTAAAGTTGCATCCAGGATTAACCTTGTATTCCTTCTCTGTTCACTTTATTTTATATCAAAACAGCCCCCTTTTCTCCATGCAATAGATTTTCTTGGCTGATGCCCACTGTCCATGGGCTTTCTATACACAAAGTTTACATATTTCTCCTCTTGTCATGACCTAAATGTCAACTGCTTCTTAGAGGAATATAAAGATAATTGCTACTCATATGTTAATTATAGTCCCCCAAATTCTGCACTGGGTAAAATATGATCTTACTTTGTCTCTGTGTTCTAAAGGTCTAGGGAATTGTTTCTGTTATGGAATCATAAATCATGGGGTTTTGATTTTTAGAAAAGGCTTTCAATATAACGCAGTTCAATAGCCCACCCCAATCTGACCTCCTTGTGACACCTTCTCTAGGAGCCCTTTCCCCATCTTACATAGTGGCCCAATCCATTTTTTAATAGCTCACTATTCCCTGTCTTTTACTAACCTGAGATAACCTTCTTGTGACTTCAGGTCTCTATGCTGGTTTTGCTTTCTGGAACCGCTCAGAAGAACTGACTCTCTCTTCCACATGACAACCTTCCAAATATTTTGGAATCTGATCCCATATACTAAGTCTTCCTTGTCCAGGCCAAACATCCCCAGTTCCTTCAGCCATCCTTTATAGGGCTGGGTTAAGTGATCCTTTTCCATTTGTCCCCATTGCCTTTTTCATTGTCCTTAAAATGTGACAACCTGAACTAAAAAAAGGATCCTGCCGGGATGGCTGACCATTATAGAGCTCTACAGGAAAGCAAAACAAAACAAAACTCTCATTCCAGATATACTGCGAGTAGTATAACCTCAGATTATATCAGAAGCTTTAGCAGCATGTTGGTCCTGAGGCTGATCCTAAAACTTCTAGATAAATTACATAAATTCTGTTATAAAAGCAGATTTTTCTAGTTTTATGCACTTGGTTTTGAATAACATGCAAACCTTTACGCATGTTCCTGTAACACTTATTAGTTTCAGAATATTTGTGGAAACTATTAGGAACTTTTGAATTTGAATTCTTTTAAATCCTGCCTCAATTTGCTTTGCCTCTTGACTTAACTCAAGAGACTGATAAAAACAGAGAGCAACTGGATTTTAAACTCCTCAAAGATGGAACCATGTTTTATTCTGTCTGCCTGTGACATTCTCCTAAACAACCAGATGCTCGATAAATGCTTCTGTTAGATCCATCAACAAATTAAACAGGCAGTTTTCCAACACCCTGGCAGAGACCTGTCTTTAGATTGATATCGGTGCCCTTTAGAAACAGACTAATTTAACTCGACCCTGCTAAAGCTTGACAATTTTGTTCCATTATAGACATGATTAACAGGGTGACCTGAAGAGCTAGGTTGCCTGGATTCTAATCAGACTAGACTTGATTAACTGTGTGCTTTGGAGTAAGTTATACCATCTCTCTGGGTCTACTACTAATACATAAAATG